TAAGGTTGAGATGAGTGTTTCTATGGTGGCTAGGAGGTCCAATTTGGACTTGATTGTTCAATTTTTTTGGGTTACATAAAACGAGTTCGGGAAACAAGTCGTTGTCGATTAATCCATTTTTTAGTGACATTTGGCTATAATTCTGAAGGGAAACGACTCAAGAAAGTCGGTCGACCAAGTCGATTGTTTTGGGAGTTAGTGTTTTGGTCGAAATTATAAGATATAACAAGGTTACTAAATGAGTCAAGTTGCGATGGTTCTAGCTTCGATTTCTTCCTTCTCTAACATTCTTTTTTCCTCTAACTCGGTGGAGATAGATCGATTTGGAGATAAGCTATTTGTTAGTGATGATGATTGGAATCAAAATCTACCAAAACGTGGTCGATTTAGGAGAGAGAGTCATGGTTATGTAAACAAGTCAAATATACAAATTTAGATTGTTCTTAAGGACTATTTAGAAATTTTTAAATAGGTGGTTTTTAGGGTGATGGAGGATGACTAGATGTGGGGGTTGTTGTGGTGATTGGTCAAGTGAAATGGAAAGTTTGATGGTGGGTAGAGAGAAGAGTGAGTTCAAGTTTTTTTTTTTTTTTTTTCAAGGATAGGAGAAATGATTGTGGCTCCCCTCAAAATGAAGGGAAAGAGTTGTTTATATAAGAGATTTTTAGAGTTTGGGGATAAGTCATCTTCTCAATCATTTTTTTTTTTTTTGTATTTTTAATTTTTTTCCCATTTTTTTAGTAAATTTCAAAATAAAGTAAAATAAAATAAGAAACAAATAAACTAAAAAAGGATGGGGGAAATTTTAGGTTATTACAATTCTTGTCATAATTTGTGCCATTTATTTTTTAAGCAATGATAATGCATTATAACATCAACAATTCATGTAACCAAATGCTTTTTAAAATTAGTTTTGTTTGCCGCCAAACGTTTTTTTCTCCCCCTAAACATTGCCTTTTCTTGTGCCACAACTGCAATCCTAAAACACATAGATATCATAAATTCAATATGGACAAATTGAAATACATATTTAATTATTTTATAAAAAGTTTCAATCATTCGGTTGATTTGTATCAATCAAAACTTGCATTTGACCCTTCTTTATATATATATATATATATATAAAGCTTCTTAAATAATCACCGGAGTTATGTGACCACTCAAAGAAGTGGTAGTCTGAAAAAGTATGCCCCAATCTGTGTCATATGACATAATCTGATGTTATTGTATCTTCGTTTGAATTTGTCACCCGTCACACTCAAAAGACTCCGAAGACCGAAACCATCCCAACACCGCCCCAACTGGCTATCCCGGGCTGTACCGTCTCCTTCAATTTTATTTTTTTTCACCCGAGTTCCTCGGACTTGAATTTGCATCACAAGATCGATAGCTCTTGTGAATTTGATGTCAAGGAGCAAACTTGATTTGTGATATATTAAAAAAACACGTGTTATCATATAAATGTTTTATACTTGATTTGTGATATATTCAAATAACAAATGTAACCATATAAATGTTTTATACGTCAAGTTTTCAGGTTAGATAAGTATTTTAAAAAACGAGACTTCATTCAAAACCTAAGTTAAAAAAAAAAAAAAAAAAAAAAAAAAAAAAAAAAAAAAAAAACTTACACTTTTATCCATGTGAGCGTCCCAAATGGTCATAACCCAAATGATATGTCCGGATAGCCAAACCTAGTCCCATCAACTAAAATGGATAGATAACACATTTATTAAATGCAGATACACCTTCGAAGTTAGCCTGTCATGAAGAAGCCATATTCTTCCAACTGTCAAATATCAACATTAAGAACATATATTTTTTAAGTCGACAGGTTACTGGCAATAAGAGAATAGACTACCCCATCTCTCATTACATGCAATGTGATCAATCTTTTATCTATTTATTCGGTTAAAAGGTCTGAGGTGAAGGTTCTGAATCTCTTACTAATTGCTGATATTCATTATACCCTTCGTATTTGCATCATTAGCTTCTCAGATTACAATTCTTCTTCTCTGTACACTAATTTAATTATGCAAAGTTTCTCTAATTTACTAAAGAGACTTATTTTTTGAAAGTATTTTATTTATTATTATTTTCATCAACCATCCAACTTCATAACCATATTCGTAAAAATAATAATAAACAAAACAACATAATTTTTCAATGTTCACGACCTCATCAACAATAGGTTAGGTTAGTTCCTAACTCATCTTTTAATCTTCAAGTTTTTTCGTGATTGAAAATTAAAAAGCACATGTCCACATTGCCATGGTAGACTTTGGCTAGTTCAAATGTTCAAACCGCAAGCTTTTTCTAGCTACAATGATAGTTTAGGAGGTTGACGGAGGCACTCCTAGCCACGCAGGAGCAAATCAATACCTTCACTACTTCATTGCCAAGCTTGCGAGCTCCATTTGCGCTTTCGCTAGATCCACCATCCGAAGAACTAAAATTATAAGCAAGTTTGTTCAAGAATTTATCCCCTATTTTTCCACAATTGTATACTCCTATATTTCTGTGGATAAATTTCTTCATACTATTGGGTATCATTAGTAGAATGTTCTTTTCCAAATATTCGTTTATCCATGCATCATCACGTTGGAAACGTATTGTAAAAACTCTCTTACATGGATAAGAACCACACAACTCAAAGATCTTGACATGATAAAATCCAAATTTGAGTTTTAATCTTGGTATTTCAAGAGTTGTAATCTTTACTCTTGCAATAGAAACTCAAGTTTTATTTCGAACAAATGGCAGATTTTCTTTCCCACTTTTAAGAAATGCATTTCCTGTGGGGACAGAGAGGCAGAGTTAGATGGGAAATGAAAGAAGAAAACGTCACCACTCTCCTTATCCCTGAAAAGTCACTCTCGCCATGCTGAAAAAAAAAAATTGAAAATAAACAAGTTTTTATACCGTGTTCTTTTTCATATATTAAAAAAATTAAAAAAACAAAAACAAAACCAAATATCCTCTAAAACTTTTCATTTAGCTTGATTAACTCGTGACGATGTTTGATCACATAATTCATCTAACGACTGTGGTCTTCAAATGTTTTTTTTTTGTACAAGTGACAAACGGTAGGAAAACTCTGTATAATACTGACTTTGTCCTTCATGATTAATGCTGGAAAATGATGAGCTATGACCACTACATTATTCGAGGGCAACTCGAATATATATATATATTCCAACAAGCATAAATCCACGAAAAAAACTTGGTGGATTAAGCAGAAAGAAACAGGAAAAAAAAAAGATATAAACAACTTGATGGAGGCGAGAATCAAAGATGTAACCCATTAATCAGGGAACAGCAGAAAGAATTTCAAGCTATTAGTTGAGATTGGATATTAAATTATTTTGATGGCTGGCCAGTGATGCGTTAACTAATCTCGAGCTTTACGTTTCCTTTCCCGGCTTCTGGAATATTAATTGATTCTTTTGTTCATTTGCTCATCAGTGCGCGATTTTATTAATTTTATGTCAATCCATTTCGATGTGGTATTGATAATTGATTGGCAACGAAAGCAACCGTTCTTTTAGCCTTTTGTTTTTAGCTTGTAAGTTTGAATTACCAAAATTAATTATCCTAGCTCAACATCATATATATATATATACATATAGCATTGGTTTTTGTCCTGGAAGAGGAGGAGCTGGAGCTTGCGGAATATATTATAAATTAGTCCTTTTGTGTTTCAAAAGTGATTAAATAGGCCATCTATTTTTAATAATTAATTAATTAGTTTCTATGTTTTTATTTTTTATTTTTTTTAACTTAATCCTTTCATTCTTTTTTAATTTATTTTGTTTTTCATTGAAAAAAATAAGTAAGATATATGGAAAGATTTATGAAAAAAGATGATATTTTTTAAAAAATAAAATAATATTAGATTAATTATGATCAATACTAATAAAAAAACTTTTAATTAATCAGTTTTTTTTTAAAGGGTCAAACTAAAAAAACTAATTTATAATCTACCCGAACTTTTAACTCTAAGAATAAAAAAATAAAAAATAAAAAAAGAAGAAGAAGAAGGCACCCACGTCATTCCAAGGCTGGTCCAGCTAAGCAAACCATTCCGCTTTTATATGCACAACCATTGATTATATAAACGCAAAATTCATTTTTTTAATTTCTCTCTCTCATCTCAATCCCACAGTTGACCCTTTTTTTCTTTCTGTCTTTTTTCTTTATCTTATCTTTTCTTTTCTTTTTTTTTGGTAGACATCAAGCATCAAACAAGTCTTTCTATTGTATCCACGATTTCAAAATTTTATCTACACCTCCACAGAAGTAGAAATTCCTCCATATTCGTCTACGTTAAAGTAAATGGAGATGGATTCTTTTGAAAAAAGTAAAATTACCATCCCTAAATAAAAATTGACTAATTTAAATTAAAAGTAAGTCACATTAGACGTTAACATGTAGGACAGACACGGTTCAAATTCATGAATTGCTGCATCTATAAATTACTTTCTAAAAAAATGCTAATGATTAACACTTCTTAAATACAAATAGAGAAAGCTCAGCCAAAGCAGAGGAGGTCCTCCGTCAGCAAAATTGGGCTATTCCATAAATGTCTCTTTCCCTTTGTGTAAATATATCTACTGATAGTTTGATAGCTGAGTGTGCGTGACTTCAGGCAACAAATTAAATTTCCAACGTGTTGTAGGGTTCTAATAAATTTAGCAATTCATTGTAGCACAAGATAGTAGTTTTTTCTAGCAACTGAAGAAGTCAAATTCTTTATTTTTTTAATAAATGAATTGGAGTTCTTTTTTATGTCAAAGCAAACCTGAGCAAGAGCCAACATTAGTACAAACGCTAATCACAAGATAACGTTCTCAGTTGATACGCTATGGTGCGATATGCCATTTGTGTAGAAGGATCACTTCTCTTAATTTTTGCTTTCATATCAATTCATTCGTAAATAAAATGCGCTAAGAAGCAAAACAATTAACTTCTAGTAGGAGGCAGTCACTAATTAAGATTAATTAACACCCTAAGAGTTTCAGTGGAGGCCATTTGGTAAGCAATTTCTTCTTCCGACTTTTGCATGTCTTCTCATCTCTATTAGGTTTATTCTTCCCAAGTTTTTGCTTCATAGGTTTTGAATGCTTCCTCTCTTGCTCTTCTCTCTGAGATTTCTCCTTTGCCTAAAATCAATAAATAAATCATATCTCATATTATAAGGGGTAAAAAAAAAAAAAATTGACTCTCCGATGAATATATACACTGCGCGTGGCAATCTTTTCAAACAACATATATTAATCTAGGAGTACTCTGATAATTTTAATCCGCCTCGATTCACTAGAGTTTTGATTCAATAAATTCCCACTGTTATTTAGGTTTCACTTCAGCAATACTTGTTTTCTAGTCTAGGGAAAAAGGAGATTTTACATAATCAACAACTCGAGGGAGTCGTCAATTTTTAAATCATTTGGTATTCCAAATTTCTAAATTTTGTGTTAGATTACTACTATATATACCTGAAGTCCAATCCTGTTAGCATGGTCAACGGACTCTTCTTGGTGTCCTTGATTTAGATTACTGTAAGTCGCCAGTGAGAAAGTTGGCAACCCTTGCCCAGAAGATGCATACCCAGAGGTCCGTGATGAACTGGTGAATGTGCTGCTGGATTCTAACTCTAAGCATAGCTGGGGAAAAAAAGAAAAAAACAACAACAACAATAGTGCAAGCAATTTTAAGCTTTCTTTGGATGAATGAGGCTTCAATTTACTAGGGAATCACCAATTTCTAAAACATATTAGATATAGCCTGATTGGAAAATGATATTCTGGAATTTTTATTTTTTTTTCATTAGAAATAAAATATACACGTTTACATTAAATTATCATCTTGGTGGGCATACCAAAAATCTTGCAGAACAAATAAGTCCTTTCACTTAAATTAATGGACCCATGTAGAAAGGGTTTCCACTTGAATCTCAAAAAACAAAAAGAAAAAAAAAGTATTAATTAATATAGTTAATATTTATTTCACATGACTAAAGATGGAATTCCATGCATAAGAGAGTTCAGCGGAAGAGAAGGCATCGATAACAAATTAAAGGATTTCTTCAAATTAATTAATTAATGTCAAGCAATCAATATAAGCAATCGGACAGAAGAACTAAATTAAGCATGATCAATGAAAGGATTGTCAGGTTGAACTGTAGTATTTGTTCAAAACTTGAATAGCAGTACTACCATATTTCACCTGAAAAAGCCTATGTTCAAGGCATGCCACTCGATCCATCAGTGACCCTTTAAAGTAAGCCTCCTTCACTGCCAAATCCGTCGGCACGGATTGCCTCTCTGCAACTCCAACCGAACAACTGCCTCCCCATTTTGGTAAATGTTGTTTTCCTTCGAAATATTTCATCTTAAATATTTGTTTTTTTTTTTAAAAAAAAACACATCAAAAAGATACCATATAATGTAAGTGAAGAAAATTGAATGATGGACAAAAGTATTTCCTAGACAGTAGATGTAGATGTTTTGGAAAAGACAAACTTACAACGAAATCCAAATGATCCAATCTGGAAACAAGAGGCATGGAGGAATGAGAATGTCTCACAGCTTCCATTTTGTTGTCCCTGTCTCGTTTCAGGCTTTAAAGTGTCTACTTAATTTAACCTTTGTAAAGCTAGCTTCGGTATTGTCTGTCATATAGCTTCCAAGTCTGTAACGGTTACAGATTCCCTCCTTTTAAGTTAACTAATTTCTAGTCATGCGCAAGTTTGTTACATCAAGAGCTTACTCTTAACCCCAGTGGAGTTTACTATCTAGTCCAACGCTAATTTGTTATGTTATTTGGCATGCATTCTAATGTAGTTGACGTCCTTGAGCCAAATGTCACCAGTAAACAGTGGCAAAATGGAAGCTTCAGTAGGAAAACTATAACTAGGCATTGCATCCATGATGAGGATAATTTATGAACCAATATTCTGCATATTATAGTTCGTTTTCAACTTAAAAATGAATCAAACAAGTAAAGCAGCTTTTATGAGACAAAGAACTAATAGAAAATAAAGAAACGTCAAGTTTGGATGGAATGGAAAGAAACAGCTGGAAGATCCTTGCAACCTGGAAGTTCAGACCTCGCACAAGAATAGGTTGATTGCTTTCCTGTAACAAGCAATCAAGCACATTTCATGTCCTCAGAAGTCAGAACCAAGAGCGACTGCAACTTCAAAAACCCAAAAAGAACCAATGGATTATGGATGATTATAAAGTTAGCCAAAGCACCTAGTGTTGTTTGTTTGCATCAGAGTGAAACTTGATTTTTATCCCATTGTTATAACCCAAAATTTAAGTCATATTTATTTTTAGTATTTTTTTCCATTGATTTTTTTCCTTTTATTTATATTTATTTGGTTAATTTTACAAGTTTTATGTTTTATCTTTTGTTTTTGTAAGGAAAAAAGAAAAAGAAAAAAAGGAAAATAATATATATATAACTTTTGCATGAAATAATTAATTAGGGGTATAACTTAAGGAAATAAGGACTGAAATTGAAAACAACCAGATTTGAAATTGAAAGTAAATTAGGGATGAAATTGAATGAAATATGGGTGCAATTGAATGAAATCATATTTGAATTTGAAAGTCAATAGGGATACAATTGAACTGAAAATCAAGAGTGTGATTGCGAAAGATCGAAACATGCGGGGACTAAACTAAAATTATAGACTGAACGATAGGATCAAAACTAGTCGGGAATTGTACCAATTAGAAATCTCGCTACCACCCAAAATCAATTCTCAACCACTGTTCATCATCTTCCTTGAAGACAAAAGCTCCCAATTCGATCTATGATTCTTGGCTAGCAATTGTACCGATCGGGAATCGTGGTTCAACCACTCGCACCCATCTCTCGCACCATAATTGCACAATACTCGCACACATCCATAGAAACTAAGAGAGAGAGATAGAGATTGGGTGGATAATGGATTAAATCTTGGTTATAAATTGAATCCCATTATAGAAACTAAGAGAGAGAGATAGAGATTGGGATTTGGAGGAGGAATTTTTTGGGTTTTGAAGGTTTTCCGGTTTTTCTTTTTCTTTTTTCAATTTTCTAGGTTTGACAACAAGAGTGATTGAATTTCTAAATAAAAGACATTATATTTTCTTGGTTTATAGAACTCATTCGGTCTACAATCATTCGATCCTTAGTTCGGACATACTCTAAATCACTCCTAAGTCCTAAAGCCAACAACAAATCCAATGCTTTTGTCTATTGTCTTCCGAGTCACCTGCAAAATACCAACAACAAAAGCATCCGGATGAAATATAGGTTTGTAAAGGAAGAGTTTTACGAGTTTTAGGTAAGGAGAGGATAACTTTAGCAATTGAAGACTCAATCATTAAGGTAAAATACTAGAAATGGGAAAGACAAGGGAGAGAAGGGAAGGAGGTTCAAAATTGGAATTTGAGAAACAAGGGACAACTACCTTCACTATCACTCTATCATCCAAATTCGGTTTCATCAATAAAGCATATCAAGTAAATACTCTAACCCTTTTATGTTATTTGTTCTCAATCCCTTTGGTTTAGCCTCTGGTTTGTTCAAAAACAAGCGATGGCAATGACTTCGTTACTATCATCATGCTATACTCAATAGTTTAAACATATAACCCTCCTGGCTTTGGGTTGTTGTGAACAAGGAACAAAACTAAAAGATAAGAGTTCTAGTGTTATAAGTTTAGGTTTCAATTAGTTTTTAGGAGGTGAAAAAAAAATAAAAATAAAGCTGGCATATTGAATTTCAAAACGAGAAAGAAAAGAAAAGGAAAAGAGGAGAAGAGATACTCGAGCCAATGAGAAAGAAAGGAAAATAAGACTTGGCCTATGGGTTGGTCTAGTCAGGTTCGGGTTGGTTAGGCTTAGTTTAGTTTAGACTATAAATAGGTTTGGTCCGGGCTAGGCTTGGCTTGTTGTTGTTTGGTCCAAGAGATAGATTTCGGGTTGGGCTTTATAGGTCTAGGTTTGGGTTTAGTTTAGTGGGCTTGGGGTTTTGAAGTAAAGAAGAAAATACGAAAGCCCATTGGGCCTAGCCCAATGGGCTAAAAGCTTATTTGGCCCAAAGGCCCAATGACCCCATCTTTTCTCATTTTTTTCATTTTTAGTTATTGCCCTAGTAAATAAAATTTGAAATTTTCATACATGCTTTTTATTTTCATGCCTAGTCTAGATTTTATTTTTTGGAATTCTTGAACTTTTTTACTCATTTGTTTCAATTTATTTAGTTTGATACTTAACCTTTATTTTCTTTTGGTAATTAAATTTCATGTCTAGTTTAATATTTAGCATTAATTAAATATAAAATTTGTGATTAGATTTTAGATTCCTATAAATATGTAAGGACTATTAATTTAATTTTTAAATTTTATTTTAATATTAAATATGGCTTGAATAAAAAATAGTCAAATTAGGTAATTAATAGGTGATGAGTGCATAATTAGTATGATTTTTATGCTCTATTATATGAAACTTTTTAGTACTTATTGTATTATATTATGCTATTTAAGAAAAAGATGACGGTTTCGGGTTTTGTAGGAAAAACGAAGAATTGAAGCAAGAAAACCCAAAACCAAAGGAAGGAAGAGAGAAGTCACTAAAGAGGTTTAGAAGATTCACACGTCCGCATGTGATATAAGAAGAAATAGTTACTAGCTATGTAAAACTAAAAAGGAACTTGTGTGGATGTCCAACATTATTAACTTAGACCTTTTGGACTTCTTAAAGCTTTTACGAAGCCTTAGAGTTAGATTTAGAAAAAGTGATATTCAAAGACTTTGTAGAGGACATCTTAATATTTCCATAATGATATAATGGGTCAAAATCCAAGCTCATTTGGGCCTCTAAACAACATTTTATATTCTGTTCTAGAAAACCGATCCGAATCCCATTCGAAGTCCAAATCAGTTATGGAGTTTAATTCATTCCTTGAGTTTCAGAACTCCAATTGATGTAAGGCTAAGCCCATGGAATGCCTAAGAGGCATGCCTACAAGTCTTATGAAGGACTTGAATCCAAACTAGGTCGGCATCATGGAGGAATTCAGCTGTAAAGTGAAATCCTAAAGCTAGGCGGACGAGTGAGTCTATGTCGGTGTTTCGATCATAATTGGAGCTGGGCATATCCAATTGATGCAAGAGTGCGTTAGAACACTAAGACATAGGGATACAACTTTAATGAAGAACCCAAATCCTAATTCGGCCTGTATCAAGTCCATTCAATCGGATTATTAAGAGACACGGGATGACGGGATGCAATGCGATTCCATACGGGCGGAAGGCTTTTTACATGGGTTGAAGGCAAATTCTACACGGGAAGAAGGCTTTCACACGAGATGAAGCAATGAAAGACATAAGATGAAGTGAAAAAGGCACACGACCATGTGTCTTAGCTAAGCAATCCATGTGACACTTGTAGATAGCTAGAGGTCGTGTTAGTAACCCTACCTTTTGCTATAAATAGCAAAGCTAAGGTATTATTTTGAAATTCTTTCTCTTATTCTCTTCTCCTAGCAACCATTATTCATAGCAATTCTCTCTTTGTATTATGAGCAACTAAACTTTATTCTTGGTTGAATCATGTTGAAGCTTTTAGTTAATCACTTGTGAGATTATTGGTTTTTTTTCTAACTTTATCTTTATTGGGTATTTTATATTTTTCTGCATTATTGGTTCATAGTTGTATGATTAATTCAATTAGAATGCATGCTAGTTGTTTATTCATATTGCTTTTTGCTAGTTATTATTCAAGTTCGTTTAATTATTTGTCTAAACTTGCCTATGGTAGTAACTAGGGGTTGATGATTAGTGATGATTTCGTTCAATTCCTTGGAAAACATAGAACTAGGTTACATCTTCTCTAACGCTTAGGAAGGTGGCTTAACTTCATCTGTCTTTCTCATCTTAATACTCGTTATTGAATTAAATCTATCTAACCCTTAGTAGGTTGTTTAATAGCTAGAGAATTAATTAGGTATTGTATATTTAGTTAATGACTAAGTGAGGAAAGACTAGAGTCGATATACATGTTATTGCCTTATGGTGAATATTTATGTTTAGAATAAGTTAATTATTTAATCGATGATCGGCGATCAAGCTGAAAGTAGATATTGAAGTTCAACCAAATTTTTTTTTTATTGTTGTATTTTAATTTACTTTAATTGTTTTCAAGTATTCCAAACACAAAACCCCCTCTTACACGATACAAACACTCGTCAAAAAAAAAAAATTAATTAAGCCTCGTTCCTTGTGGATTTGATCTTTACTTACCCTAATTATACTATTGTGGTTAAGGTTCAGTGAAGACATTATAAATTACTAATTTGTTGACGGTACGACACCCCACTAATGGGTAGAAGCATCGTTGAGTCTCTTAATTTTTAGAGATTGATGATGATTTCCCACCAACTTTAAAAAATACAAAACAAAAAAAAATGATAAAGGAAAATGATAAAAAAAAAAAAAAGAGGAAAAGAACAAAAAATATATATATAGAGAAAGAAATGTTCGGTGAAAATTAACAAATCTCCTATCTAATATGGACTAATGTTAATTCAAATAAATCAAATTTCAATAATTAGATCGTTCTTCGACATAACGATTATGTCAAGACTTAAATTGGATCCAATATTTAATTGACAAGACTCCGATAATGCAATTTGACGATCGATTCAATATGATGCCACAACCAAAAATAGAAAAATTAATTTAGTTTCTATAAGAAACTTGAAAGTTGACTTAGAAATAATTTGGCATAAATTAAAATTTTTAGAAGATAAACTCTTAAGATTAAATCATACATAGTATCTTTTTTTGAAAATAATACCTTTGAATGATTGACATCTTTACAAATGCATAATCAATTTTTTATTTTAAAATCTTTGAACTAGTATCAATTTTAAATTTACTAGTTTTCTTTAATACTAGTTGACAACTTCAAAACATAGTTTAACTCACATTCCTAGTAAATAAAAAAAATAAACATAATTTAATTAATTTTTTGATAGCGGCACCCATCATCCCAGATTCACTGATTGAGGCTTCCGAGCTGACTGACCAAAAGGATTGAGGCTTTTTCCAGACTTATACTTGGGGGATGGGAATCAGAAAACCTAAAATTTTCATGAAAAAAATTGCAACTATTGCATTGTTAAATTATTGGTGACTGGCAGGTGTTTCTCCCAGCATCCGAGTACATCTATTTTGAAGGATGAATAGCATGTTCTTTTGACAAATAACCTGTTATCATATTGCCAAAAACAATAGCTTGGAAAAGCTTTTGGATTCAATGACCGCTGACGACTTCAAGAGATGCAATACGATAACAATGGTGAAGATTAATCCAGATATTTGTCATGCAACTGATGCGGCCAATCACCCTAAGCTAGACCTTGTCACCTCATATGCCAAGAAGCATGCTGCATTCGCGGGGACACTTCGACCCATGGCAGGGCCAAAACCCTTGTACAAGCCTTTGATACCTTCTGACGCCAGGATCTTTCTAAATGCATCAATGGAGCCAGAGAACTTGGGATTTTTGTAATCATCTACCTGAAGGACACTTTTGACAACATCAGTTGGGTAGACAGATGCCCAAAAGGAAGCACCAGCTAAGCCACCAGCTAGAATCAAAGAACCCCTTCCCAACTGAGAAGTATCCTGGCCTCCTGCAAGAGACTGCTTCAGCAATTCATAGACACCAAACATGGCAGCATTTCCAGGAATTTCACGTGCCATAGTAGGAACCAAGCCCTTGAAGAGACCCCTCACACCACCTTCTGATTTGAGAACATGTCTGGCCACATCCATTGGCCCTCCATACTTCACTGCCACCGCTGCTGAGTCTGAACTTGCCAATGCACTTTGTGCTTGCAACCTGTTCACACCAGGAAGCCCCAGTCAGTTATTGGGCAGTAGGTAGATGTCAAAGAACTGGCAAGTTATTTAATCAAAAATAAGAAAGAAACAGAAATGGCAAATGAACAAAATAAAAACTATTTGTTGCCAGTAACGTATGATGATTTAAAAATTCTGGCATAACCACCACTTGGTTTTTTTTTGAGAAATGGGAGGAAGAAAGAATTGTGTTCCAGTTGTTTAAGAGTGTGTAAGAAACAAGGCCATACTGGCAATATGATTTTCCCCTTGCCTGATAATTTTGGAGACTATACATAGACCTAAAATGTCAGGGCTGGTCCAGAAAAACACTACTCCCTCCAGGGTAAAGGAAAACCGTGCACATTTTTACAGTGCAATTTAGAAGAATTCAGGACATGACAGCCTGACAGGTAACACAGAAACTGTCCAAAACCACTGAGTACTCAGGATACATAGCACAGCCAAATTCAATGAGTTATAAGCAAATACAATTAGGCAATAAGCTCCATAGAAAGGTAAAAATAAAAATTGAAGGCTTCGCAAAATAATGAAGAAAAAATTCAAGAAATAAGAAAATCAGTTAACAAGGTCAGGAAAGGTTGTGGGGGTGGGGGGAAGATGGCACTGACCTGCACTTGATCAATTCAGTGGGACAAGCAAGAAAAGAAACAGCAACTCCAGCACCTGCGCCAGCAACAACTTGCTGGTTAACTGTAAGTGGGGCACCAGGTTGAGACCTCAGCAATGCCTCCATTTGTCCCCTCACTGTGAAAAGAACAGCATTGAAGGCTGCCACAGTAGCAAGTGGAGCTCCCATACCTTTGTATAACCCCCTTGGGCCTTCAGCAGCTAAAGTCTGCTTGACAGCATCCACTGCCCCAGCATACTTGGGAGCTTGGCCAGGGAGTGGAGCAGGCTGGCTCTGGAGCTTGACCTTGATTGTGTCGAAGGGGTGGCCAACTATCAACTGTGCTGCACCCCCAACAGTCCCGGCAGTCAAGTCCTTTACTACGTCCCCCATCTGCAAGCTAGGAAATATGAATTCAAGTCACTGAAGGGATAAAAGTGGAAGACTTGAATTAGTTTCATAATGTTTGATTTGAAGCCAATGGAAACAACAGCAATAGAAGTATTGTTTGATTATTTATTTTCCACACAAATATTTCAGATAAAATATAGCTGAAGTGCCAGATAAAGATGCCATGCTACATCCTTTCTTGGTTCCCAACACCCCCTGCAGAAGAAAGAGAATTGACAGTTCTCATACACAATGTAGAGTTGAAGAACAAACAACACCATGAAGGCATATACTAGTAAAAAATATCCACGCCAACTGATGTTTTTAATTATATTCCAGTACACATGTTTTAAATCCAAGACGACGATTAAAACCGAATTAGCCCTATTCTAGAGTCAAGAGGACACAAATGAACTCTCATAGCATCTTCGTTCTGTTTCCATTCCATAAGCCCCTGAACATGAGCCGTTTTCCTTCTACTTTGCAGGCTCAATTTTCAATCTAAGCCAACCAGTGAACGCTCTTGTCAAGTCCAATACAATTTGAACAATGTAATTCAATAGTAAAAGATACGATCACAGTAGAACTGTAACACACCAAATATGATGGATGTGATTTACCATTAAATATATATTTGCTTCTCATTTTTTCCATTCCTAAGTCATTTCCAACACCAAATCAACAACAACTTGAACTTGAGGGTTAAATTAGCTATAAGAAATAGACTGAAAAAAGAAAATAAAAACCCAAATGCAGTTTCTTCACAATCCATAAATGAGGCAATGAATAAGCATTGGCATCGAAGTTATAAAACGAAAGCATTTCAATGTATTATTAGCGAAACAACAAAATCTGCAAAGTCTACAAATGATTCAGATACGCTTTATAGACCGAATAAGATTAAGAATCATACCAGACTTGATTTGATGAGCACAGAAACCAAAGAAAGGGCAAAATTGAATCAAAAGTACAGAATTTTAACCTCACCGCAGATGACAATCTGAAATAGAAAGACGAGATTAACAAAAAAAGGGCGGTATAATATCAATAATAAATCAATGAGGGGGTTATTGGAATACCAGAAACAGTGTTAATAGAACTTTGCCATGAGGGGAAACAAAAAAAAAAAACAGCGGCGTATCGTCAACTTACTGGGGATGCAAAAAGGTACTAAAAAGGAAACGGAGTTGGTGAGATTTAAGAATTTTGGTTATTAGAGAAGTTTTATAATTTTAGGTAGTTGGAATCCTGAAATTAAATTAACCAAAGGGGTCAAAAAGTACTAGTACCAAACGACTCATGGGAGTTTTGTCCGCTAAAAAAGAAGAATCCTGGGAGACTTAAGAGCCACATGAGGATGCTAACTAGGAACTTGGGTTTGGATAAAAAAATTACGAACCACTGCTTGTAGAGCGCAGATTCCAAACCAAGGAACAGAGAGCGATGTGGACCATGTGGTTGTGATGGTTCTCTCGTACAACAAAATCCAATCTTTTTAGCCTCTGGTGCGTTCCACTTCCACCAAGTCCCTGTGGGTGAGTTTTTATATAGTGGAGACTTAGGTTTTTTGCCCTGCTACGTTGCGAGTTTTAATTTAATAATCTGTTTACGATATAAATGTATAAAAATATATAAAATCAAAAATAAAAAAATATTTTAAATTTTTTAATATAATTTAAAATTTAATAAATGAGAATTTTTAAAAAATAAAAAATTAAAATAATAAATTTTAAATAATAAAAATAATTAATAAAAAACATTAAAACAAAATGGGATCAAACCACAATACAATTAAACTTTGAAATTAAAAAAATATTGTATAAAAAAATTGACCATATAATTTTAAATTAATTAGATAAGAAAAGAATGAATAATATTAAAATAAATGAAAACTATCATTAAATGTAATTTCAAATTAATTAGATGAGAATTTGAAAAAAATGACAAATTACGAGTTATAGATTTTAAATAATAAAAATAATTAAAAAAAACTAAAACAAATAGACTAAATCACAATACAATTAAAGTTTAAATTTTTTTAAAAAAAAATTATATATATATATAAGACACACACACATACATAATTTATTATATAAATTATAATAATATATTTTAAAAAATATAGCACCGACATTCTAAAATTTTAATTCAAAATTCATATATTAAAAAACTAAATTTATTAACAAATAAAACCATATAAAAAAATTAATTTGATGTGAATTTTAATAAAAAATAAATAATTTAAACAATAAAATAAATATCATCGGATATTCTCTCTCTCTCTCTCTCTCTCTCTCTCTCTCTCTCTCTCTCTCTCTCTCTCTCTCTCTCTCTCTCTCTCTCTATATATATATATATATATATATAGTGGGGAGAGAAGCGCCTGGTTGCAAGCCAACCGGGCGCCACATAATATTAAAAAAAAAAAAAACAATCAAAAGCAAGTGAGGCCGGACGTCGGCTCGTGCGAGCAAGCCGGCGGCGCTCCGAGCCTTACCTAAAAAAATATATATATATCCTACAACTTCGACGAACCCGAGGTCATCGGAAGCTCGTCAAAAAATCGAAAGTCAACTTTTAGATCCCTAGAAATTGAATTCCGACATCATTTTTTTCCTCAAACACCTCTAAATGACATGAAGAAAGTCAATAAATACATTTAAAACTTTAAAAATTATTTTAATACACACAAAAATAAAGAAAAATACAAAATCAAATCAGATTTTTTTTTCTTCGATCTACCTCCTCTAATTTTTTAATAGCTTGAAATCACCATTAATAAACTCATCTCTCAAAAATAAAAAAATCTAGTGAATTTTCGCTAGCCAAAGTGGCCTAAATGACCTTGGTCGGTGATCTCTCTCTCTTCCTCTCGGCTTTCTCTCTCCATCCGGGGATCAAAATGGATGACTAAATAAACATGTAGATCGAAATATGAGTTTGTAAATATCGGTGACCAAAGTATAAAAAAAAATTTATGAATAGTGAAAATAACGAGTGAATTGTGAGAGGGTGAATAGTGAAATGTAAGTTTATGCACAGTGTTTCAAATAGTATAACTACAATATTTTGACGTTTTACTTTAATTTATTAGTTAATGAGGACCTAATAGTAGCAGTAGGACAGATGGAAATTTATTTGGGCAAAACTCAAGTAAGTCTCTCACATATATAGAAATTCTTAATTCAAATCTCAAATAATTGTTTGCCCCAGTTTGGTTTCTAAAAGGTAAAAATGATTAAATAAATTTTCAATTGAGTCTTCCACCGTTAATGAATTCTGGTTTTTTTTTTTTTTTTTTGGCAAAAAAAGAAACATCATTTATAGCGACCGTGACCTTTAAAAAAAAAAAAAAAACAGTGAAGGGTTTGGACAAAAAATTTAATTGAGAATTTCTAAAAATTATATAGATATGAGAGAGAAGCATTTTTTTTTTTTAATCAATAGGATTTGATTTAGAGTTTTGATACTAATTTGAGGTATTTTTATAATTTTTTTCTACCTAATATATCAAACTTTATATACAACCAACAAGTTGTTGATGCACTAATAAATGAACTGTCTCAAAATAATTTTTTTAATTAATATATATGATTCAAATTTTAAAGTTATAATTTTTAAAATGAGTTAAATCTTATTGATTTTATTCCGAACATAATTAGCCTTCTTTTTAATATAAAATAGAATACTAGCATAAAAAAAAAAAAAAAATCAGGCTTCATACATATATCGGGTTAAACAAATGCTTTAACCCAAAATGTTATCTGATTAAACAAACGGGGATAGTTATTTCCACTCTCCCTACTTTAAGATTTACTTTTTGCTTATTGTTTGTTACATATAGGATCATTCTGACACTTGATATTATGTAATTCTAATTACAATGAAAGAGAAAAACACAATAAGGTTCGTTTGTTTCCTCGAAAAGCCTTTTAAATTTTAATCTTTCTTTCTTTTTTCTTGTTTTACGGTTCCAGTTCTGAATTCACCAATGGCTGGGCCTTTTGTTTTTGCGTGGCTAGCCTGTTGTTTAGGCTTAGGTGTGGACCTTTAGTATGATGGTCTCTCTATTTTAGAAAATGGGCTTTGTTGCCGAAAGAAAGTTGTAATTGGTCACGAACTATCATCTATTTCAGTCCTGTACGCGGGCTCTTTCTAGCAAATGAAATGCGACTCTCTTCGGGCGTTTGTTTCCCTAAAATATTTTCTTCTCTTTGGTGAATTTTGAAAAATAATTTATGATCAAAGTTAAGATATTTTTTAAAACTTTGAAAAACGACTTATGGTTTTCAAAAGAAAAAAACATTTTACAAGGAATCTATATCAATAAACAAATTAAAAAACACTATACGATCATTACATACTAATATTTTTATTTTGGAATGCAAATCAATAAACAAATAAAAAACATTATTTGACAAACAATTTTAGGCTCTTTACATAAATGATTCTCATTTTCTCATCTACAATAAACAACCAATATATAATTTTCATTTAAAACATCTAAACATTAGAAAATAATTTATTTTTTTAGAAAAATACTTTTCTTGCAAAATATTTTTTTCTAAATGTATATTATTTTTTGTAAGAAAATGTTCTATTAACTAAAAAAGCATAAGTAATTAATATGTCATTTTGAAAATCTTCTTCTTTTATATATATTTGACACGAGGTAAAATTTTCATTGATATGAAAATTCAAGAGAGGTTACTAAAATCATGAATTGGAGCCATATAGACCAACAATCCATATGAATAGACATTTGGAAGGCCCCTAGGATCATATGGGGACGTCCAATAATATATAAAAAAGATATAAATAAAAAAGCTAGTAAAAAAAAGAAACATGTACAAATCTCTTACAAAAGAACGGACACGAAGAAAAAGAGAAGTCTTTAGATGAAGAAACACAAACTTTATGCTTATTGATCATATACGGAATACAAGTATATATAGGAGATTGGTCTAGCTCTTGAGATAATGACAATTATGTTAATTTAGCCT